ACTTTCTAGACTAGCCGTTTTGTACTAGAGATCGGACGTGACATTGCGTGACAAGCAGAACATTCTAGATAAGTCGTTTTGTATTGTTTTGTAACCCGGATGTGACGTTGTACGAATTGTTGTACCCCCTATATGGCATTGTAGAAACATGTGCTCGAAGAATAAATATGGAGTTCAAACAGTCATTTTATGTCAAATTTTAAATTCGAGTCCGAGCAAGTGGAACAAGTGGACTTCATTTTATAGAAGTAGAAGTCTAATTGTGTCAAGTCTATCTAGAGGTATTCATGCAGGATGTAAGCGTTAACTTTGAATGGGTACTCTGGAAGTGCAAACGTTCATGCCTCGTCCACACTAAGCCAGAGAAATTTGAAAAGGGTGTTAATCACTCTGAAAACACATCAAATGTTTTTCGTCCACACCTTGGAGAAATTTGAAAACGCAACAGTCACCAGTCATTTTAGATTTGTGTTTGAGGAAATCGTGACGTCATCGTTTTGGAAAAGTTCCATTTTGAAAATGTTTTCCATCCACATTAAAACACAAAGCCGGCATTTTCAAATTCCTCAGGTTTGAACAGTGTTTTCGTTTGAAGAGCACCCGTTTTCATGGGGCTTTATTGTGGACAGAATATCTAACCGTTGAAATAAAGCTGCATTTTCAAATTTCTCTGGTGTAGTGTGGATGAGGCCTCAGTATAGTTGTTTGTCAAGTATTACAAATCAAACCTGAAGGTCAAAATTGCTCAAATTAAGCACTGGTCAGTAAACACGTACTGAATATCAGATAAGATCAAAATCTCCGGTGATATCACAAATTGTTCTTGCGGACAGACTGGTTGGTGGTTTCCACTGGAATGCTAGCAGCCTCGTACCAGGACTCTTCATTCCCCATGACCAGCGTTCGGGAAACGAGCGACCCTGGAGAGATCGGATTTGAAGTCCGAAAATATCGGACTTCCAGTTGAATTGTGCCTAGCTCATAAACACGTGGCTCAATCAAGTCGCTTGTGTTTGTCTTTAGCATGGGAGGGCACCTGTTGTTTTCTGCTCTTGTTTCATGCGCAAAAAAAACCAAGAGCCAAAAAAAACTGGATGCTCTCGCAGGCTAGTTTTTCTTCCAATCATTTTTATTGTTTTTAAAGCCAGTGAAACTAAAGGCTGCAATGGAACTAGATATTCTTTGCTGGGGATACTCTAGGGAACTTGTTCATTTTATATTCTCCACCATTGGCACACCTACATTGGTTACATGAGCTGGAAGTCTGTCTGTTTCCCTCAACAAAGGAAATGACCCTCGTTTCTTCGTCGCCTTGTTACAACTTAAAATGAAAATATTGCTAAACTTTGCATTTCACAGAATCTTTACATATCATCGGAAACTTCCATGGAAAAGTCATGAATGTGTCCTTGTACATACTTATAAACAGAACCTGAAAATGCCGTTTTGCAACAGAACTTAAAACTCGTTTCTGTTTACCTCATTTGATAAAGAGAGAATGATTAATGCTCTCATTAAGACAGTATTGCCTTGATTTTTTCAATATTTCCAATTTCCACTTTTCACCCACATTTACTGCCAACTATTTCTTGGTGAACCAGAAACAAAAATGAAAAATGTTTAAAACACATGATGTCGTCAACCCTTGTCAAATGTAAAAGCATGATAGTTTCAATTGTAATGCCTTCTTATCCAAATGTTAGTTATGTTACTATGTTTCTTTGGTACCTTAGTAGTGAACACTGAACTACTGCTCGTACTCTAAACATGAAAATCAACCACAATATTCCCTAAACCAGATAATATTAAACATAAGCCAAAAAATATTTTAATTCATTAGTTCAATTCACGAGTTTGCTCACAGAGCACTCTGATTAGGAATAACGATTACTCACTTCTGCTTGAACAAGTTCTGCTGCTTCTGCTTCTTCTGCCTCAGGCTGTGTTGAAGAAGGACCAGGTTGGGAGAGTTGGGAAGAACTTGACTGCAAAATAATATTCAATCTTTTTTAACTCCAATTGTAGGCAAGAAATATTTTAGAAATTCAACTTTGATAAACTCATCTCGTCCATCTCCGTAGGCTTGTCGCCTTCTTGCGAATTCAAAGAGAGAAGTTCATTTATAATCTAACAGATAAAAGAATGATAAAAAAGAAGTGTGAAATTTTCACACCTTGCAAATCACAGCCTCAAAGAAAACAGCACAAATACACTAAATACAGGCTGCAAGAAAAACAAAAACAAAAACAAAACAATTTTATAGCCATTACGAGTTTCCTTTAAGGAACTGATAGAACTAAAACTGAACTACAGCATGTGCTGCACGCGGAGGACCACATAAAACATGAACCACTACATATGGCATACAGGATTTCAAAGCGTCACATTTTAGTTTTGAAGTAGAGAAAAAAATGTAAACCAAGGAAATTAAAAATGATAGTTTACTTAGCCAATAATAAGTCTTATAAAGTACCAAAAGATCACGCTTGAAAATAGGATGCTTGGAAAGTATGCATAGGTCAATGCCCATGAAATAACATATGGAAAACACTCACCATTAGACAGTCACAGCTTGAAGTAGATGGCTCTTTATCCTTCTTCCTCTGTATTGTCAGAGCCGAAGATGGCTGGAGGTGTTTCATCGCACCTCCGACATGAATTGTTCTAGCAAAACAATCCTCCGTGAAGTGTTGCGAGCAAACGACAAAACGGCCTGGGGGATTGAAGTTTGCCCAGTGAGTGGAGATGAATCTCTTCCACTGAGCTCTTAAACTTGGGTTAACAGGGGAATTGTGTAGTGAAATTCCCACTTTAGTGTTGGAAGGATTGCTGCAACCCTGCACTACGCAATGACTAGACAGTATAATCTTTACAGATAGAGTTGGGAGGATATGATAGCTGAATAGGAGAGGAAGAAAACTCAATTGTTTCATCAGCAATAGTATGCAAGATATGAGGATCTGAGGTCAATTGCATCCATTTCTCATAAAATAATGATACCTGACCAGCTCTAAAGGACTTAGATATGGTATCAGATGATCCTTGATGTAACTAGGAAAATTAATTACCTGAGTTTTTAAAACTTCTAAGTTCTTGGTGAACTTTTTCTTGAATGAGGCTGAGCCCTGAGTTGCTGATGATTTGGAAGGATTGAAAGTCCTCCCTCTGTTCACTAAAAAATGCTTCTGCTGATATTTGTTGTTGTCTTGTTTACAATGGCCAGTGCTCCGTTTGTAGTGTCTGGCATCACAACTGTTGTTGGTCATGATCTTATTACTGGTTTTCAATTCTTGAATTGTTTTAGCTAAATCATTCCCAAAGAGGAGTTTCCCTGCTTTTCTGCTTCTGTCGCATGCTAGAAGGAAATCCTGATCAAGAAGGGTTTTAAGGCATCTTTTCTTTTGTAAGATAGTTCTGTACAAACATGACCTACCAAAGCCACAGAATCCAACAAGGGGTTTATCAATGCTTTGTAGCTGGGGATGGTTTTGTTTTCTCTGTGCTCGAGAAGCTTATTAGTTGTACAAATAATAGCACTAGACACTTTCACAAATGTGTCTTGTAATGTCAAAGTTCTAATGTCTAAGCATTTGACATTTGCCGGGAGTTTGTTCCAAATTTCGTCATTTACTTTGGAAACAAGCACATTGTCACAAATACTTGGCTTCTTATATTTCTGGAGACTATCCTTTCTCTTCTCCACAGAATACTCTGCATTAAATTTCCCATTTACTAACTCAGCAAGGCCACTTGCAATTGGCAGGCCTGTGTCCTGTGAGCAACTCAGGAAAGAGCTGATTGCAGACAACAAACTAGCATTGTCAGGGTCTCCATCCTCCATATCCTCAAGGACGGTATCGTCTATTTCATCAATATCACCACCTCCAAATAAACGACAGGCATCTGCCTGGCTTGCATCATGGTGATGCTGTGTATTTGCTTTCTCTGAAGCATTGTTTTCATCTTCTTCAGAGGAGGTTGCGTTGGCTTTCTGTGAAGCCGTGCAAGATTTCCTTTGTTTGGATGTCTTTGTTTCATTGTCAGGAGATGACCATTTGTGGCTTACTAGCTTTTGAAGCAAGCTGTTGCCCGAATCGATGCTAGCTTTCATACTATTTAGCACAGCGATGAGAGTGCTAGACTCTTGCTCACTTTGCTTTTCCGTGATACTATCTTCAACGTCAGTGGCGTTCATTTCCCTTTGAGAGAAAACAAAATGCGGCAAAACACAAGGTAACACAAAACCACTTCAATACGGTGCAAAAAGGCAGTATAAAGACCCAACAAACAGCATGAAAAACTTTAAAAAAATCTGTGGAAAAAACACCTCTTCGCCTGCTCAATGCAAAAGCACAACACAGCTATAATACTGGGTGCCAACACAAAAGTGAACAGTGTAAAACTTTTTAAGCAATTAGGTTGGGTTCCATTTTACCATGAAGCAAAAATAAATAAGTCAATATTGGTATATAAACAGATTTTAGGGGAGTGCCCATCTTATCTTACCCAGATGCTCATTAGAAATGCAACGTGAATGGAAGAACAAGCAGGCATGTTCAATTAAACTTTGTCTGCCCTCGATTCAAACGGGAGTCTGAGGGTGGAAGGTCTTTCACAGTATCGACTAACTGCCCCTTGATAGGATGCTTGCCCATATCAAAAACCAAACTAACCTTTCAGCTTCAAAAAAATCCATTTTTAAACATTTTATGGACAGTTATAAGGAATTGGACCCTTTTATCATGTAAATTTTTAATTTTAGATTTTCTTGTTTTAATTATTAGACTTGATCTAATACTTTGCTTTTTATTATGATAAAGTTTCCATATAATGTGCGCTCTGATTGGCTGAAACAGCGTGCTTTATCAAAGAACAGAGCACGGGTTGATGACGGTAAGTTGGCTTTCAAGGTTTTGCTTTGGAATTTTGACAAATTTGACCCAAATTAATTATCCCCTGTGACTCAGACAAACGCAATGGAAACAAGCTAGTTGTCTGCAGTAGATATGGCTCATGGAGACCATTGTTAGCAACAGTAGTGTTAAAACTGTACTAAAATAACAAGTTTTGCTAGATTCCCACAAACAAAACACGTAGGGAAATAAACAAATTCTCAACCTAAACAGTGCTTTGATAAAAGACATTATATTTGTTACGATAGGCTCATTGAAAAACAGTAAAACTAAACCCCTTGAAATAAATGTCTCTATTGATCCCATTAAAATCTTAGGAACGTACATTTCACATGACAGCAATAAAAACAATAACCTGAATTTCTTTCTTAAAATCCAAAAGATGGAAACCAAATTAAACATTTGGTTGTCTCATGACCTCACTCTTATGGGAAGAACCCTACTCACTAAAATGTTAGGAATCTCAAAATTGGTATATGCGGCCTGGAAAAACAAAAAAGATAAAATTAAAAGAGAAGTTCTTTTTCAAGAAAGGAGAAAAGGTGGTCTTAATTTTCCAAATTTTGCCATAACAGTTAAAGCGCTCCATTTAAGCTGGATCGGAAGACTGTTAGAAATAAAACCATTCTACTGATCTTGGAAAGCTATTCCAAATTCTTTTTTCGAAAAGTATGGAAGTCTCAACTTCTTACTCAAGTGCAGTTACAATCCAAAGAAGTTAGACAAAAGTGTATCGTTATTCTACTTAGAAATGCTAGATTACTTTAAGGAATTACACCAGGTCAACCAAGATAGCTACGAAAGTGACCTTATTCTTTGGAATAACCATACATAACCGATGAAGGCAAATTGCTTTTTTGGAAGAGGTGGACTGAAAATGGAATTTATTACATTCAAGATATTTTAAATGAAAATGGCAATTTTCTTACTTTTGAAGAATTTAATCAAAGGTACAATATGTCATTAAATTTTTTAAGCTTTTTTCAAATCCTTGCATTTATTCCACCAAACCTCAAATCAAAGGCGGCTTCCACGCTAAGACCTAAGAATTCTGTTCTCTATAATTCTGACTGTTTTTGACTTTCCCACTGAAAAATCGGTTTTTCTTTCTAAAATGAAATGCGAAGACTACTACCTTCTTTTCCAAGAAAAATCAGAGGTTACACCTACAGCCATCAAGGCTTGGGCCCAACATTACTCTGGCATAGAAGATAAATGGGAAAAATTATCCAAAAATATACCTCACCTCTTGGCTGACAACAAATTGAGACAATTCTCCTTTAAATTATTACATCATATTTTAGTGACCAAAAAGGAGCTTAAGAGGTTGAAAATATCCGAAAGTGAAGATTGTTTTTTCTGTAAATCCTGATTCCTTGGAACATGCATTTCTGGAGTGTCCTGCTGGCCTAAACTTCTTTCAAAAAGTCCTCACATGGTTCAATAATAAGCACAGAGTTAACTTTACACCATCTAAAATACAGCTACTATTTAAGGACTATGATCTTCCCCCAAATACAAACCCAAACCTCACCTGGAGGTTTGGGATTTTAGTGGTGCAAACTCAAAAATATTATCGTTGCAAAGTGTTGGAAAAAACTCTCAATTTTCTTGAATTGAAGTCAGTGCTATCTTTGCAATGGAAAGCTGAAAAATACGAAATTTGAATTAATTAATTCAATTTACATTATGAAATCATTTTCAGTGGCAAAATCAGTTATTAGTGTTTTACTACTGTTATGATATGAATGTAAGAAGCATCAGTAATGGTATTAATATTGTAACTTAGAAAGGGTAAATGTATTGTTTTGTAGAGTAAATTATGCAAATTTTAGTATTGTAAGTAGCATGTGTAATTGCATCATATTGTTAATTAGAGTAAGTAGTGTTAGTAGTTGTATTACTGTTGTAAATAGTTATCACTTCTATAATTTGTAGTTGTAGTACTGTTGTTAAAAATAATAATAAAAAAATTTTTACAAAGGTAGAAATTATACTTAAGAAGTAAAGCAATGACAGAAAACAACAATTGAACTGTCTGTTTAAGATGAGAAGCTTTAGTTTTATAAGAATGCTCAACTGCTCAAACAACAC